GAGGGAGGGCAGCGCCATGGCATAGATGGGTGTAGCTGCCCTTCCTCTACCCCTCTATATATATAGGGAAGGGAGGAGGGGGACGCCCCTAGGGTTTCCCCCAGGGGGCGGTGGCCACAAATGGGGCGCCCAGGGTTTGGGTGCCCCCCTAGTTGCCTTGCCCCCCAAGCAAGGGGGAGGCTGCCCTAGGGGGGCACACCACCCTTCCTGTTGGCATGGGTTGGGGTGAGGGGGACGCCCAACCCCCTAGTGGGCTCGTGTGCTCCGTTCCCTTGGCCCATGACCACCCCCAACACTTGCTGGGCAACCCGAAACCCCTTTCAGTCTTCCGACGATAACCCGTTACCCCCCGGAACACTTCCGGACTCTGATACCCTCTGATATATCAATCTTCACCTCCAGACCACTTTGGAGTTCCTCGTCATGTCTGGAATCTCATCTGGGACTCCGAACAACCTTCGATCACCATCATAACAACCCAACTATACTTATGTCATCACCAAACGTCAAGTGTGTAGACCCTGCGGGTTCGAGAACTATGCAGACATGACCAAGACACCTCTACAGTCAATAACCAATAGCGGGACCTGGATGTCCATATTGGTTCCTACATATTCTATGAATATCTTTATCGGTCAAACCTCGATGTCAAGGATTCAGATAATCCAGTATGCAATTCCCTTTGGCCATCAGTACGTTACTTGCCTGAGATTCGATCATCGGTATCACCATACCTAGTTCAATCTCGTTACCGGCAAGTCTCTTTACTCATTCAGTAATACAAGATCCCTTGGCTAACTCTTTAGTCACATTGCTTGCAAGCTTATTGTGATGTTGTATTATCGTGTGGGCCCTGAGATACCTGTCTGTCACATGGAGTGACAAATCCCAGTCTTGATCTATGCCAACTCAACAGACACCCTCGGAGATACCTGTAGAGCACTTTTATAGTCACCCAGTTACGTTGCAACGTTTGGTACGCAGAAGGTACTCCTCCGATGTGAGTGAGTTGCATGATCTCATCGTGATAGGAACATATACTTGACATGTAGAAAACTATAGCAATAAACTTGATACGATCATATGCTACGCTCGTAGTTTGGGTCTTGTCCATCACATCATTCTCCTAAGGATGTATGGCCAGGAAACTCATGTATATGGCCAGGAAACCATAATCTTCTTTGATCAACGAGCTAGCCCGATAGAGGCTTACTAGGGACATATTGTTGTCTATGTACCCACACATGTATTTGAGTTTCCAGTCAATACAATTATAGCATGGATAATAAACAATTATCATGAACAAGGAAATATAATAATAACCACTTTATTATTGCCTCTAGGGCATATCTCCAATAGTCTCCCATTTGCACTAGAGTCAATAATCTAGTATTACATGGTAATGAATCTAACACCCATAGAGTTGTAGTGTTGATCCTTTTTTTCCCGTGGAAGAGGTTTAGTCAACGGATCTGCAACACTCAGATCCGTATGTATTTTACAAATGTTTATGTCCTCCTCCTTGATTGCATCACGGATGGAGTTGAAGTGTCGCTTTATGTGTCTGGTCCTCTTGTGAAACCTTGGTTCCTTGGCTAGAGCAATGGCACCAGTGTTATCACAGAACAGAATCATTGGGTTCAGTACACTGGGCACAACTACAAGATCTATCATGAACTGCTTCATCCAAACACCTTCCTTCGCTGCCTCCGAGGCAGCTATGTACTCCGCTTCGCATGTAGAATCAGCTATCACGCTTTGCTTGGAACTGCACCAGCTTACCGCTCCCCCATTCAGAAAATATACGTATCCGGTTTGAGACTTAGAGTCATTCGGATTAGTGTTAAAGCTTGCATCGACGTAACCCTTTACGACGAGCTCTTGATCACCTCCATAAATGAGAAACATTTCCTTAGTCCTTTTCAGGTACTTAAGGATATTCTTGACCGATTTCTATGTTCCATTCCTGGATTACTTTGAAACCTTCCGGACATACTTATGGCAAGGCTGGTATATGGTCTTGTGCACATCATCGCATACATGATAGAGCCTATGGCAGAAGCAAAGGGGGTGACACTCATCTTTTCTCTATCCTCTGTAGTCGCTGGGCATTGAGTCTTACTCAAATTCACACCATGCAAAACATGGAAGAACCCCTTCTTGGATTGATCCATTTTGAACTTCTTCAAAATCCTATCAAGGTATGTGCTTTGTGAAAGTCCTATCAAGCGTCTCGATCTATCTCTATAGATCTTGATGCCTAATATGAAAGCAGCTTCTCCTAGGTCCTTCATTGAAAAACTCTTGTTCAAATATTCCACGTTTTCCAGAAGTTCTATATTGTTCCCAATCAGCAATGTGCCATCCACATATAATATTAGAAACACTACAGAGCTCCCACTCACTTTCTTGTAAATACAATATTCTCCGAAAACTTGTATAAACCCAAACGCTTTGATCACCTCATCAAAGCGAAGATTCCAACTCCGAGATGCTTGCACCAGTCCATAAATCGATCGCTGGAGTTTGCGCACTTTGTCAGCATTCTCTAGATCGAGAAAACCTTCTGGTTGCATCATATACAACTCTTCCTTAAGAAAACTGTTAAGGAACGTTGTTTTGACATCCATCTGCCAGATTTCATAATCGGAAAATGCAACTATTGCTAACATGATTCTGACCGACTTAAGAATCGCTACGGGTGAGAAAGTCTCATCGTAGTCAACTCCTTGAACT